GGAGTAGTGAACGTCGCCACTGGGGGAGAGACAAAGGCGGCCGGGCGTGGTGCTGGTAGCCACCCACCCCCCTCGTGTGCCACGGTGCCGGTAGCCTTCACAGGTGCTGCTCGCTAACAGCACTTGCCCCTACAGCCTGTTAGAGGCTACACGGGGGAGCTTTGTCTGTGTCTACCTTCACAGGTGCTGCTGCTACTCGCTACTCACAGCACTTGCCCCTACAGCCTGTTAGAGGCTACACGGGGGATCTTTGTCTCTCTGTGTGTGTCTGTGTGTGTGTGTGTCTGTGTGCGTGTGTGTGTGCGTGAGTGCGTGTGTGTCTGTGTGTGTGTGTGTGTGGTGTGTGTGTGTGCGTGCATGTGTGCGCGTGTGTGTGTGTGTGTCTGTGTGTGTGGTGTATGTGTGTGCGTGCGTATGTGTGTGCGCGCGTGTGTGTGTATGTGCGTGTGTGTGTGTGCGTGTGTGTGCGTGTGTGCGTGTGTGTGCGTGAGTGTGTGTGCGTGCGTGAGTGTGCGTGTGTGCGTGTGTGTGTGCAGTACACTCCCTGGAACTTCATCCCCAAGAATCTGTTTGAACAGTTCCGACGAATCGGCAATTTCTACTTCCTCATGATCTTCTTGGTGCAGGTCAGATGCAGGCGCGGACACGCACACACACACAGACAGACACACGCACACACACACACAACAACCGCCATTCGCCACAAAGTGGTGGTGACGTCACCACGACGCTTGTGCCAGGCCATGTGCACCTTGAGGCCACGTGAAGTGTTGAACGCCCACTGGCAGGAGGTCTCGGGACAGACCCAGCAGGTGCTACGGGTCCACTGACTGAGATGACTGAGATGTCTGGCTGATGCACCACTTGTGCCTCCTACTGTGCCAACCTGCTGTGCTTTAGCCACCCGGCGCTCCGCTCGTTGTTGTGAGCGTCGCTCGTCCGCCCTCCGTTGTTGTTGGAGGGCGACTGCCTCCAACTGCCCAGTAGCAGCGTCCTTCACGAGCCTCCTCCACAGAGGCCGATCTTGACACCGCTGGTACTGGTCATCGGCAAGTCCACTCAGCTCCACGTCCTCCTGTACCACATCACTCCATCTCTTCTCTAGCCCGTGCCGCGCCCGTTTAGCCCCCTCGATCCGGCCGAACAAAAGCTGTTTCGGCATGCGGTGGCTGGGGGTAGGGAGGGTCACAGACTCACACAGAGATTCACAGACTCATCGAGACCCACAGACTCACACAGAGATCCACAGAGACCCACACACTCACAGAGATCCACAGAATCACACAGAGAGCCACAGACACAAACAGAGAGCCACAGACTCACACAGAGACCCACAGAGACCCACACACTCACAGAGAGCCACAGACTCACACAGAGACCCACAGACTCATAGACAGCCACAGACTCACACAGAGACGCACAGACTCACACAGAGACCCACAGACTCACACAGAGACCCACAGACTCACACAGAGACCCACAGACTCACACAGAGACCCACAGACTCGCACAGAGACCCACAGACTCAGAGAGCCACAGACTCACACAGAGAGCCACAGACTCACACAGAGACCCATAGACTTACACAGAGACCCACAGACTCACACAGAGACCCACAGACTCACACAGAGACCCATAGACTTACACAGAGACCCATAGACTCGGAGACCCACAGACTCACATAGAGACCCACAGACTTACACAGAGACCCACAGACTCAGAGAGCCACAGACTCAGACAGAGAGCCACAGACTCACACAGAGACCCACAGACTCACACAGAGACCCACAGACTTACAGAGAGAGCCACAGACTCACACAGAGACCCATAGACTTACACAGAGACCCATTCAGAGACCCACAGACTCACATAGAGACCCACTTACACAGACACCCACAGGCCCATAGAGACCCATAGATTCACACAGAGACCCATAGACTTACACAGAGACCCATAGACTCAGAGACCCATAGACTCACACAGAGGCCCATAGACTACTCACACAGAGACCCATAGACTCAGAGACCCATAGACTCACACAGAGACCCACAGACTCACACAGAGACCCACAGACTCACATAAATTGAAAAATAATCTCTTTAAAACATTTTTGTGTTGAGTTTGTATCCCTTCCCCCACACGTGGACATCTGTGACGAAGAGCTTCATAGCTCATCGGATTCCTGCAGCATGGACACCAAATTCTGATCTGATTCTGATCTGATTAGCACGCCTGGCTGCATAGGGTGTGAAAGAAGTTCTACAAACACATACCGCCTTGTACCCCACAGCTCCCTCTCACCACTCACCACTCCTACACTCCCCCCACTCACCACTCCTCCACTCACCACACTCACCACTCCTCCACTCCCCCCACTCACCACTCCTCCACTCCCCACACTCACCACTCCTACACTCCCCCCACTCACCACTCCTCCACTCACCACACTCACCACTCCTCCACTCCCCACACTCACCACTCCTCCACTCCTCCACTCCCCCCACTCACCACTCATCCACTCCCCCATCCCCTCTCCCTCTCCCCCCTCCCCCTCTCCCCCCTCCCCCCTCCCTTCTCCCCTCTCCCCCCCTCCCCTCTCCCCCCCTCCCCTCTCCCCCCCTCCCCTCTCCCCCCTCCCCTTCCCCTCTCCCCCCTCCCCCCCCTCCCCCCTACCCCATCCCCTCTCCCCCCTCTCTTCTCCCCTCTCCCCCCCTGCCCCCCTCCCCTCTCCCCCCCTGCCCCCCCCCCCCCAGGTCGTCATCGACTCCCCAACCAGCCCAGCCACCAGTGGCCTCCCGCTCCTCTTCGTCATCGCGGTGACAGCCGTCAAGCAGGTGGGGGGTGGGGGTGGGGGGCGCACACAGAGACAGGCAAAGGTCCCCCGGGTAGCCTCAGCACCCTGTCGGGGGCAAGTGCTGTTAGTAGCGCGTAGCCCCAGCACCTGCGAAGGTGAGCACGGCAAGCGACCACGCCCGGCCGGCCGCCTTTGTCTCTCCCTAGTGGAGATCTTTACTACTGCACACACAGCACCAGGTACTCGTTTCACAGCACACACACAGACGCAGACGCAGGCAGACAACCCTCAGCCTGCGCACCTCGGCGCTTTGTGCCAGGCTAGGTGCACCTTGAGGCCAAGTGAAGCGTGGGAGGCTGTCACGGGACAGACCCAGCAGGTGCCATGGGTCAGCTGACTGAGATGACCGGTAGATGCACCACCAGCTGTACCCCCCCTACTGTGCCAGGCTAGGTGCAGGAGGAGGTCACGGGACAGACCCAGCAGGTGCCATGGGTCGACTGGCTGAGATGACCGGTAGATGAACCACCATCTGTACCCCCCCCTGCTGTGCCAGGCTAGGTGCAGGAGGGAGGTCACGGGGCAGACCCAGCAGGTGCCATGGGTCGACTGGCTGAGATGACCGGTAGATGCACCACCAGCTGTACCCCCCTACTGTGCCAAGCTAGGTGCAGGAGGAGGTCACGGGACAGACCTAGCAGGTGCCATGGGTCGACTGGCTGAGATGACCGGTAGATGCACCACCATCTGTACCCCCCCCTGCTGTGCCAGGCTAGGTGCAGGAGGGAGGTCACGGGACAGACCTAGCAGGTGCCATGGGTTGACTTGCTGAGATGGCCGGCAGATGCACCACCAGCTGTACCCCCCTACTGCACTAACTCGCTGCGTTTTATCCACCCGGCGCTCCGCTCGTTGTTGTGAGCAGCGTCGCTCCTCCGCGCAACTGTTCCCCAGTTAGCGTCCTTCACGAGCCTCCTCCTCCACAGAGGCCAGTCCACTCAGCTCCACATCCTACTCCTGTACCGCATCAACTCCATCTCTTCTCCAGCCCGTGTCACTCAATCACTCACTCACCCACTCACTCACCCACCCACTCACCCACCCACTCACTCACTCACCCACCCACCCACTCACCCACCCACTCACTCACTCACCCACCCACTCACTCACCCACTCACTCAGTCACCCATACACTGACCCATTCACCCACCCACCCACTCACTCACCCACCCACTCACCCACCCATCCACCCACCCACCCACTCACCCACCCACTCACTTACCCACTCACTTACCTACCCACTCACCCACCCACTCACCCACTCACCCACCCACTCACCCACTCACTTACCCACTCACTTACCCACCCACTCACCCACCCACTCACCCACTCACCCACCCACCCACCCACTCACCCACCCACCCACCCACTCACCCACCCACCCACCCATCCACCCACCCACCCACTCACTTACCCACTCACTTACCCACCCACTCACCCACCCACTCACCCACCCACTCACTTACCCACTCACTTACCCACTCACTTACCCACTCACTTTACCCACCCACCCACCCACTCACCCACCCACCCACTCACCCACTCACCCATCCACACGGTGGCCACGTGACCCCAACGGGGTCTCCTCGCCCGCTGGAGGAGCTCGCCGAAGGGACGCGTTGAGAGGCCTTGGTGACCAGGCCCAAGGCCTCTCCTTAGTGTGGCTCCACTGCTCGCTCCACCCTCTCTACCCCCCCACCCCACCCCACTCCACGACCCCCTCTCTAACCCCCCCCCTCTCTCCCCCCCAACTCAACTCTCTCCTGCCCCCTCTCACCCCTCTCTCTCTACCCCCCACCTCTCACCCCGCACCTCTCTCCCCCCCACATCTCTCCCCTCCCTCTCCCCCCACCTCTCTCCCCCCCACCTCTCCCCCCACCTCACCTCTCTCCTGCCCCTTCTCCCCCCTCCCCTCTCCCCCCCCGCCTCTCCCCCCTCCCCCCCCACCTCTCTCCCCCCCCTCGCTCCCCCCAACTCACCTCTCTCCACCCCACCTCTCTCCCCTCCCTCTCCCCTCCCTCCTCCCCCCCCCCCACTATTTTCCCCCCACCTCTCTCCCCCCCCCCCCCACATCTCTTCCCCTCCCCCCCCCCCCCCCCCCACTTTGCCCCCCCCCCCTCCCCCGCCCGCAGGGCTACGAGGACTGGCGCCGTCACCGCTCGGACGCCACGGTCAACGACGAGAGCGTGGAGCTCGTCGTGCCGGCACCGCTGACCGGTGGTGCCGCCGGTGGTGCCGCCGGTGGTGCCGGTGGTGGCGCCCTGCGCACGTCGCGCTCCAGCGAGGTGCGCGTGGGCGACGTGGTGTGCGTGCGCCGCGACGGCACCTTCCCCTGCGACCTGCTGGTGCTGGCCACGTCGGGGCGCCCCGGCGGGGCCTGCCACGTCACCACGGCCAGCCTGGACGGGGAGAGCAACCTCAAGGTGCACGGTAGCGCACACGTGTGTGTGTGTGTGTACGTGTGTGTGTGTGTACGTGTGTGTGTGTGTGTGTACGTGTGTGTGTGTGTGTACGTGTGTGTGTGTGTGTACGTGTGTGTGTGTGTGTGTACGTGTGTGTACGTGTGTGTGTGTGTGTGTACGTGTGTGTGTGTACGTGTGTGTGTGTACGTGTGTGTGTGTACGTGTGTGTGTGTGTGTGTACGTGTGTGTGTGTGTACGTGTGTGTGTGTGTGTACTTGTGTGTGTGTGTGTGTGCGTGTGTGTACGTGTGTACGTGTGTGTGTGTGTGTGTACGTGTGTGTGTGTACGTGTGTGTGTGTACGTGTGTGTGTGTGTGTACGTGTGTGTACGTGTGTGTGTGTGTACGTGTGTGTGTGTGTGTACGTGTGTGTGTGTGTGTACGTGTGTGTGTGTACGTGTGTGTGTGTGTGTGTACGTGTGTGTGTGTACGTGTGTGTGTGTACGTGTGTGTGTGTACGTGTGTGTGTGTGTGTGTACGTGTGTGTGTGTGTACGTGTGTGTGTACGTGTGTGTGTACGTGTGTGTGTGTGTGTACGTGTGTGTGTGTGTGTACGTGTGTGTGTGTGTGTGTACGTGTGTGTACGTGTGTGTGTGTACGTGTGTGTGTGTGTACGTGTGTGTGTGTGTACGTGTGTGTGTGTGTGTGTACGTGTGTGTGTGTGTGTGTACGTGTGTGTGTGTACGTGTGTGTGTGTGTGTGTGTACGTGTGTGTGTGTATGTGTACGTGTGTGTGTGTGTGTGTACGTGTGTGTGTGTGTGTACGTGTGTGTGTGTACGTGTGTACGTGTGTGTGTGTGTGTACGTGTGTGTGTGTGTACGTGTGTGTGTGTACGTGTGTGTGTGTGTACGTGTGTGTGTGTACGTGTGTGTGTGTGTGTACGTGTGTGTGTGTGTGTGTACGTGTGTGTGTGTGTGTGTACGTGTGTGTGTACGTGTGTGTGTGTGTGTGTACGTGTGTGTGTGTGTGTACGTGTGTGTGTGTGTACGTGTGTGTGTGTGTACATGTGTGTGTGTGTGTACGTGTGTGTGTGTACGTGTGTGTGTGTACGTGTGTGTGTGTGTGTACGTGTGTGTGTGTACGTGTGTGTGTGTGTGTACGTGTGTGTGTGTACGTGTGTGTGTGTGTGTGTACGTGTGTGTACGTGTGTGTGTGTACGTGTGTGTGTGTACGTACGTGTGTGTGTGTGTACGTGTGTGTGTGTACGTGTGTGTGTGTACGTGTGTGTGTGTGTGTACGTGTGTGTGTGTACGTGTACGTGTGTGTGTGTGTGTACGTGTGTGTGTGCGTGTGTGTACGTGTGTGTGTGTACGTGTGTGTGTGTACGTGCGTGTGTGTACGTGTGTGTGTGTGTACGTGTGTGTGTGTGTGTACGTGTGTGTGTGTGTACGTGTGTGTGTGTACGTGTGTGTGTACGTGTGTGTGTACGTGTGTGTGTGTACGTGTGTGTGTGTACGTGTGTGTGTGTACGTGTGTGTGTACGTGTGTGTGTGTACGTGTGTGTGTGTACGTGTGTGTGTGTGTACGTGTGTATGTGTGTGTACGTGTGTGTGTGTGTACGTGTGTGTGTGTACGTGTGTGTGTGTGTGTGTACGTGTGTGCGTGTGTGTTAGTGTGTGTGTGTACGTGTGTGTGTGTGTACGTGTGTATGTGTACGTGTGTGTGTGTGTATGTGTGTGGTGTGTACGTGTGTGTGTGTACGTGTGTGTGTGTACGTGTGTGTGTGTACGTGTGTGTGTGTGTGTACGTGTGTGTGTGTACGTGTGTGTGTGTGTACGTGTGTGTGTGTGTACGTGTGTGTGTGTACGTGTGTGTGTGTACGTGTGTGTGTGTGTACGTGTGTGTGTGTGTGTACGTGTGTGTGTGTACGTGTGTGTGTGTGTGTGTGTGTACGTGTGTGTACGTGTGTGTGTGTACGTGCGTGTGTGTACGTGTGTGTGTGTGTACGTGTGTGTGTGTACGTGTGTGTGTGTGTGTACGTGTGTGTGTACGTGTGTGTGTGTACGTGTGTGTGTACGTGCGTGTGTACGTGTGTGTGTACGTGTGTGTGTGTGTGTACGTGTACGTGTGTGTACGTGTGTGCGTGTGTGTGTGTACGTGTGTACGTGTGTGTGTGTGTACGTGTGTGTGTGTGTGTACGTGTGTGTACGTGTGTGTGTGTGTACTTGTGTGTGTACGTGTGTGTGTACGTGTGTATGTACGTGTGTGTGTACGTACGTGTGTGTGTACGTGTGTGTACGTGTGTGTGTGTACGTGTGTGTGTACGTGTGCGTGTGTGTACGTGTGTGTGTGTACGTGCGTGTGTACGTGTGCGTGTGTGTACGTGTGTGTGTACGTGCATGTGTGCGTGTGTACGTGTGCGTGTGTACGTGTGTGTGTGTACGTGTGTGTGTGTACGTGTGTGTGTGTACGTGTGTACGTGTGTGTGTGTGTACGTGTGTGTGTACGTGTGTGTGCGTGTACGTGTGTGTGTATGTGTGTGTGTGTACGTGTGTGTGTACGTGTGTGTGTGTATGTGTGTGTGTGTACGTGTGTGCGTGTGTGTACGTGTGTGTGTGTACGTGTGTGTGTGTACATGTGTGTGTGTGTACGTGTGTGTACGTGCGTGTGTGTCTGTGTGTGTACGTGTGTGTGTGTACGTGTGTGTGTACGTGTGTGTGTACGTGTGTGTGTGTGTGTTCGTGCGTGTGTGTGTACGTGTGTGTGTGTGTACGTGCGTGTGTGTACGTGTGTGTGTGTACGTGTGTGTGTACGTGTGTGTGTGCGTGTACGTGTGCGTGTACGTGTGTGTGTACGTGTGTGTGTGTACGTGTGTTTGTGTACGTGTGTGTGTGTACGTGTGTGTGTACGTGTGTGTGTGTACGTGTGTGTGTACGTGTGTGTGCGTGTACGTGCGTGTGTGTACGTGTGTGTACGTGTGTGTGTGTACGTGTGTGTACGTGTGTGTGTACGTGCGTGTGTGTACGTGTGTGTGTGTGTGTGTACGTGTGTGTGTACGTGTGTGTGTGTACGTGCGTGTGTGTACGTGTGTGTGTACGTGTGTGTACGTGTGTGTGTACGTGTGTGTGTACGTGTGTGTGTGTACGTGTGTGTACGTGTATGTGTGTACGTGTTTGTGTACGTGTGCGTGTGTGTACGTGTGTGTGTACGTGCGTGTGTGCGTGTGTACGTGTGTGCGTGTGTACGTGTGTGTGTGTACGTGTGCGTGTGTACGTGTGTGTGTGTACGTGTGTGTACGTGTGTACGTGTGTGTGTGTACGTGTGTGTACGTGTGTGTGTACGTGTGTGTGCGTGTACGTGTGTGTGTACGTGTGTGTGTGTGCGTGTGTGTGTACGTGTGTGTGTGTACGTGTGTGCGTGTGTGTACGTGTGTGTGTGTACGTGTGTGTGTGTACGTGTGCGTGTGTGTGTACGTGTGTGTACGTGCGTGTGTGTGTGTGTGTGTACGTGTGTGTGTGTACGTGTGTGTACGTGTGTGTGTACGTGTGTGTGTGTGTACGTGCGTGTGTGTACGTGTGTGTGTACGTGCGTGTGTACGTGCGTGTGTGTGTACGTGTGTGTGTCTGTACGTGCGTGTGTGTACGTGTGTGTGTGTACGTGTGTGTGTACGTGTGTGTGTGCGTATACGTGTGCGTGTACGTGTGCGTGTACGTGTGTGTGTACGTGTGTGTGTGTACGTGTGTGTGTACGTGTGTGTGTACGTGTGTGTGTGTACGTGTGTGTGTACGTGTGTGTGCGTGTACGTGCGTGTGTGTACGTGTGTGTGTACGTGTGTGTACGTGTGTGTGTACGTGCGTGTGTGTACGTGTGTGTGTGTACGTGTGTGTGTGTGTACGTGTGTGTGTGTACGTGTGTGTGTACGTGTGTGTGTACGTGTGTGTGTGTACGTGTGTGTGTGTACGTGTGTGTGTGTACGTGTGTGTGTACGTGTGTGTGTGTACGTGTGTGTGTGTACGTGTGTGTGTGTGTACGTGTGTATGTGTGTGTACGTGTGTGTGTGTGTACGTGTGTGTGTGTACGTGTGTGTGTGTGTGTGTACGTGTGTGCGTGTGTGTACGTGTGTGTGTGTACGTGTGTGTGTGTGTACGTGTGTATGTGTACGTGTGTGTGTGTGCATGTGTGTGTGTGTGTACGTGTGTGTGTGTACGTGTGTGTGTGTACGTGTGTGTGTGTACGTGTGTGTGTGTGTGTCGGTGTGTGTGTGTACGTGTGTGTGTGTGTACGTGTGTGTGTGTGTACGTGTGTGTGTGTACGTGTGTGTGTGTACGTGTGTGTGTGTGTACGTGTGTGTGTGTGTGTACGTGTGTGTGTGTACGTGTGTGTGTGTGTGTGTGTGTACGTGTGTGTACGTGTGTGTGTGTACGTGTGTGTGTGTACGTGTGTGTGTGTGTACGTGTGTGTGTGTACGTGTGTGTGTGTGTGTACGTGTGTGTGTACGTGTGTGTGTGTACGTGTGTGTGTACGTGCGTGTGTACGTGTGTGTGTACGTGTGTGTGTGTGTGTACGTGTACGTGTGTGTACGTGTGTGCGTGTGTGTGTGTACGTGTGTACGTGTGCGTGTGTGTACGTGTGTGTGTGTGTGTACGTGTGTGTACGTGTGTGTGTGTGTACTTGTGTGTGTACGTGTGTGTGTACGTGTGTATGTACGTGTGTGTGTACGTACGTGTGTGTGTACGTGTGTGTACGTGTGTGTGTGTACGTGTGTGTGTACGTGTGCGTGTGTGTACGTGTGTGTGTGTACGTGCGTGTGTACGTGTGCGTGTGTGTACGTGTGTGTGTACGTGCATGTGTGCGTGTGTACGTGTGCGTGTGTACGTGTGTGTGTGTACGTGTGTGTGTGTACGTGTGTGTGTGTACGTGTGTACGTGTGTGTGTGTGTACGTGTGTGTGTACGTGTGTGTGCGTGTACGTGTGTGTGTATGTGTGTGTGTGTACGTGTGTGTGTACGTGTGTGTGTGTACG